GCCCTGAATCATTATGAATTTTTGCAGTAATTGCAGGTGCAGCAGAAACAGATCTGTTAGCAGGTGGGCTTGACCTTGGTGCTGCTCTGCATTAGTGCCGTGGGAGCTGGTGGTTGGTGTGGACGTGCATGTGATGCTCCTCCAGCAGCCTGCCTGTTGCCTGCCCCTTCCCGCAGCCCCTGTCCCGCACCCCAGGCAGTGAGCAGGCTTAGAAATGAGAGAGCAGCCTGGTGTGGAGAGGGCAGCACAGGGTGAGGGGGGAAAAGAGGAGTCTCCTACAGTGATTTTTGGGAGGACCTGGAGCCTCCTTCCAGCCCAGCTAGCCATGTGCAGGTGTCTTCATGCATGGTGGGGTTCGTCTGGGAGATGACCATGGGTGAAGAATCATTCACCCCATTGCTCAGTGCTAGGGACAAGCCTCCAACAAACCTCTGCAGGGTCCTGTCTGGTGCTGACTGTGACCCTCAGAGCAATATCCGTTCCCCTGGGAAGGGAGAACCTCTCGGCCTTGGCACCTCCTGGCCCTGCGGTGGCCACCAGAGCTGGGAGCGAGCCCACTGCTTGCGCCCACTGGAGCCGTTTGCTTGTTGATGAAAAAGGACCCTGTGAAACCAATTAGCAGAAGAGCATCAGTGTTTGTTGGGGCCGGGGGTTTGGAGGTGGAGGCTGGGGGCAGCCCCCGCTCTCCTGGCCAGCTCCCTCCTCCGGCACACCTTGTTTAGCCCTGACCTTCCTGCGCGGGCAGCCAACGATGTCATTTCATTCCTGGGCTCATTTCTCCCTGAATGCGTGGCCCTTGTCAGCTTTGCTGTGGAGGAGGAGGAATCTTAACGCGCCAGAGCAGCTTTTAACACTCATTTAGAAACACCAAACAAACAGCCGCTTCTTGCCAGCCGCCCTGGTGGAGCTTGATTTAGGGGGAAGACCCAGCCCGATGGTGGCTGCAGCTGCTGATGAGCCCTGATCCTGGACTCGAGCAGGGGCTGAGCTGGGTTTAGGCAAACAGCAGTTCCCCACAGCCCCGGAGGGTTTTGTTGCTGTGCAGGTTGTGAGTTTTGAGGACCAGGCACTGGTCCCAGCTCTGCTGCTGCGTCGGATTATGTCCTGCAGGCTGCCTGCATGCAGGGGGGACCAGTTGCCCCTGCTGGAGTGCGCTGAACGTGATCAGCCTGATGTGAATCGGGAGGATGGTGGTTAATCCCAGAGAGGAGATGGCTGCAGTGGGGCCCTGCAGAACCAGTCCCCAGCTCTGTGTGGTCCGTCAGGGCTGGGGATGCAGACAGCGTCCACTGCTGCATCTTTCCCACTCTCTGCTTGTCCGCCTTTCCATGCTGTGGGAGTGGCATCCAGGACTAACCCTGGGTGAGGAGGAGGAAAAGGAAGAGGAGGAGGCTCCAGCTGGCTCAGGCCCCAGGGTTGCAGCCACCCAGCTCTGCAAGGAATGCAAAGAGCTTGCATGTGCTTGATTGCAGCGTGAGCACGGCCGCAGCGTGAGCCTGTCCAGGCGCTGGGCGCAGCGCTGGCAGAGATGCCTCCTGGTGCTAGAGGGGATCTCTGCCAGTGCCGCAGGAGCACGAGCAGAGGAGGGCATCACCCGCAACAAAACGGTCCCTTTCCCTGCATCAGGACGCACCTCCTGGACCAACCCAGCCCCCATTACTCTCCCTCTCCTGATGCCTGTGGCTGCCTTTTCCCCTGCTCCATCTCTGTGTCACCGGTGACCTAGCCCTGTCCCCAGTCCCAGTGTAAAACTGCCTGGCTGGTGGCAGTGATGGGCCCATGCCTCTGTTCATCCCTCATCCCGCCGCTGTCTGTCAGGCCACACCTGCCTGCTTTATTGGGCATCATCCTGGTAAATGAGGCGTGGCGCTGGCGTGTGGTGCCCTCCCTTCTCAGCCAGCCTCGGCACAGGGTTTGCCAGTGGAGAGAAACCCTTCTCCCTGCTGCCTGCTATGCGCAGGGACCTGGTGGAGATACTTTCTCCTTTGAGGACATCCTGCACATGGGGACCTCATCCCTGGGTATGTGGGACCTGGCTAAAAGCCAGGCAGATCCACGTGCTTCCTCCCTGGCTCAGCTGGAGCCGTGGCCGATGCTGCCCTGTCTCCTTCCTGCCTATGTCCTTGTCACCTGTGAGGTGGCTCTGTCTGCAGCGGGGTGTCCAAATCCCAGCCCTCTGCTCGGACACATCTGGCATCTTCTGGCTTGTTCCTGGGAGGATTTGTGGACACGGCTGTTATTCAGGAGGTCTTTCCCACTCTGCGTACTCCTTGCAGACACGCTGGCATTTATCATAACCCATCTGTCCTCGCCGCTCCTGGGGGAGTAACACACATCCCGTGGCTGCCCAGGCTGCAGCCTGCCTGAGCAAGGTGTCCCTGCAGCTCCACTCCCTCAGCTGATGGCCGTGCTCTCTCCTAGCTGTCACCTGAGACTGGCCCCAGGCAAGGAGGGACCCGTCTGACCATCACCGGAGAGAACCTGGGCCTGAAGTTTGATGATATTCGCTGGGGTGTTCGCGTCGGCAAAGTGATGTGCATCCCCATCGAGAGCGAGTACATCAGCGCTGAGCAGTAAGTGCCTGGTGAGGGGTGGGCATGCTCCAGGTCAACTCAGTACATGGGGGTTGAGCTGCTCCAAATGCTGCCTGTGGCTGCAAGAAGACATGGGGCTGACTGGGCCGGACTGGGAGAGAAGTACATGCTGGTTGTGGTCACTCTGGGAGGAGCCCAAAGCCTTTGGGGAAGCTCCCCCTAGGGCTGGCAGTGCCAACAGCCACCACCTTGGTTTCTCATGAACCCTATTGGCACCTGGCACCTTTGCTTGGTGCCAGAGCTGTCCCTTTCTGAAGCTAGTCCATCCCCACCGTGGCTCAGGGAGCATCTTGGTGCCGGGGCACTGAGGGCTCCTTCCTCACATCCCTTAGGATTGTGTGTGAAATCGGAGATGCCAGCCCGAGCAAGGTCCACGAGGCGCGGGTAGAAGTGTGCATCCGTGACTGCTCGTCCAGCTACCGGGCCATGTCCCCCAAGAGCTTCACCTTTGTGGTAAGCCCCGTGCCATGGGACAGGGCCGGTCCCGGGTGGTTTGGGGTGGGTTTCCAGGCGAGCTGGAAAACTGGCCGTCGCTTCCTTGGCAGGGAGGTGGGGATGCTCTGGGCAGGTGTTGAGTCATGCTGGTTGAATTTCTCCAAGGCTGCCACTTCTGCCTTCCTGTGGTCCTGCTGGCACTGCAAGCCCTCAGCACTGTGCCCTGCTGCTGTCCCACAGGTCTCTCTCCTCTGCAACCCTGTCACCCTCTTGGGGTTGCTTGGGGCTGCAGGATTTGGTCCCCAGCCCATGCAACACCAGGGATGTTCTTTTCCTTTGACAGACGCCCACTTTCTCCCGTGTGGTCCCAGCCCGGGGTCCTCTCTCTGGTGGCACCTGGATCGCCATCGAAGGCAGCCACCTCAACGCCGGCAGCAACGTCTCTGTGACCATCGGGGGACGGCCCTGCGCTTTTTCATGGTGAGGGGCATGGAGGGTGGTGGAGGATGGCTGATGAGCACCTCCAGAGACAGCGCGACCCCCAGGTAGAGCAATGGTCAGGAGCCTGTGCTGGGGAGCCAGGAGGGACCCCAGGAGCCAAATGTCATGGGTAGCCGGAGGCATTCCCCCCAAAACCTCTGTGTGTCAGAGGCTGCAGGAAGAGCCCAAAGAAAGGGGATTTTTCTCTAAAAGCACAAAGCCCTGAGGCATGAAGTGGATAATTTTTAGATTAGGGATGATAATGGAGCGGCTCTTTAAATATTTTCCTGCGGTAATTACTGGTTATCAGCCCTAATCGCTGCTGTTTGCAGCAGCCGCGCGATGGGAACGCTCAGGAGCTGCTCAGCC